AAAAAAAAAAAAAAAAAAAAAAAAAAAAAAAAGATCTGATGTGGATGGGTCACAGTGGTAGCTAATGCTTATTAAATCTGGGTCTCGAGGACACGGTTTTAAAAATCACCATTATTGGCCGGGCACAGTGGCTCACGCCTGTAATCCCAGCACTTTGGGAGGCCAAAGTGGGCGGTTCACGAGGTCAGGAGATTGAGGTCAACTGACCAACATAATGAAATCCCTTCTCTGCTAAAAATACAAAACTTAGCTGGGTGTGATGGCACGTGCCTATAGTCCCAGCCACTTGGGAGGCTGAGGCAGGAGAATTGCTTGAACCTGGGAGGCGGAGGTTGATGTGAGCCAAGATCATGACGCTGCACCCCAGCCCAGGCCACAGATTGAGACTCCGTCTCAAAAAAAAAAAATTAAAAATCACCATTATTATGCTTCATGCTCCTCTGTATGCAGAAAGCTCCTTCCCAGGCCTCGCTGCTCTCCATGCAGACACCTGCGTGCAGAACTGCCGCTTGCCTCCTTGGCTGTTCCCAGAGTGGCCCCCGGGACCACTTTGCCCTGGACAATGGCAGCCTCTTGTCAGGATGGAGCACCAACCAGGGCTGGAGCTAGACTGGATGGGCAGCATGAGATCTAGTTTCAGTCTAAGCTCTATGGCCTTCTGCCCTCATGCCTCAGTCTCCCTACATGCATTAAGAGGGTTTTCCATGACATGGGCTCAGGGACCCTTCCAGCTCTGAGGCTGTTTGGGGACCCCTTACCTGGGGCCGCAGGGAGGTGATGGGCAGGATCAGGGACTCTTCTGTGGCAGGTGCTGCCTCAAAGGTGGTGAGGAAGAACATGGTGGGGGCCAGGCTGGTGGAGGATTCCTCCATGGCCGCGTCCAGCACCTGGGCTTCGGAGAGCTCTGCCTTCTTCATCAGGGAGCTGGGACCTCGGACCAACGCTCGGCCTGAGACACAGGGCGGGGAGCACAGGGGCTGCATCTGCTTGCTGCCTCGCAAGTCTACAGTAGAACCCACATTTTATGCTGCAAACTGGGAGGCAGCAGGGACTGGACCATGTGACAAGCCTTTGGTTGGCCCCATCCCTGCTTCCTACCCTTCTCAGGAGGGGGAAATGCGGAACTCGGAGGAAAATGTCTTGGAAGAACTTACGGTGTCGCTGGGGAGACAGCCCAGGATTCTCCCTGTAAAGCAACATTCCAGCAAGTCCAAGTCCATGACTCGCTCTGTCGCCCAGGCTGGAGTGCAGTGGTGTGATCTCAGCTCACTGCAACCTCCGCCTCCAGGGTTCAAGCAATTATCCCACCTCAGCCTCCTGAGTAGCTGGGGTTACAGGCACGTGCCACCATACCTGGCTAATTTTTGTATTTTTGGTAGAGATGGGGTTTCTTCATGTTGCCCAGGCTGACCTAGAACTCCTGGCCTCAAGTGACCTGCCTGCCTCAGCCTCCCAAAGTGCTGGGATTACAGGCATGACCCACCATGCCTGGCCTGGCCTGAGGTGTCACAGCCAGTTGTCAGCAGACCAGGGCCTAGCCGGCAGAACTTCTCTGTTCCTGCCTCCTCCTCACCCTATCAAATCTCCCAGGAGGCCCAGCTGAAGCCCTGGAGCTGGGGGAGCAGGAACACAGCAGGAAGGGTCCACACCCCATGTGTGTCCTCCATCTGTTCTCAGGGGTGCCAGTGTCCTCCCCAAAAGCTGACACAGGTGACCCTAGGAGTGGGAGGCTGAAAGTCGAGGCTGGGGACCACGACTGACCTCAGCTCACCTGGGGGGTTCTCAGTACGCCTTGCAGGGAAGCCAGCCCACAAGAAGGGGCATTGAGGTTCCATTGCCTTCCTGCCGAAGAACCCTGCCACTGTGTTTGTGGCACTCGGCATGCCCCTGGAGGCAGTCTTGTCACATAGAGAGTTTAGAAGCCCAGTTCCCTGGCTTAGGGCCAGGCAAGGCTGGGAGGAGCCACTTGGGTGGAGTTAATGAGTACCGGGAGTGGGGAACCTGGGCCAGCAGGGGGCAGGCTCGCTCGCAGGGGATGTGGGGTAAATGTTAAGGAAGGTGGGAAGGGCTGCGGGGCACCCAGATGAACAAGGCAGAGGCAGGAGGGTAGGCAAGTGACGCCTCTCCTGGAGTCACCTGCATCCGGGTTGGAGGACACTGATTTGGCATCAGGAGGGAGCTGGGATTAACCAGAACAACATGCCGGGCACAGTGGTTCACTCCTGTAATCCCAGCACTTTGGGAGGCCAGGCAGATGGATCACCTGAGGTCTGGAGATCAAGACCAGCCTGGCCAACATGGAGAAACCCCGTCCTACTAAAAATACAAAATTAGCCAGGCGTAGTGGTGCATGCCTGTAATCCTAGCTACTCAAGAGGCTGAGGCAGGAGAATCACTTGAACCTGGGAGGTGGAGGTTGCAGTGAGCCCAGACTGCGCCACTGCACTCCAGCCTGGGCGACAAGAGTGAAACTCGGTCTCAAAACAAAAAAATACCAGAGCAACAACTGCTCACGGCCCTGCCAGCTGAGCTCCAAGCGTCCCGCTAATCAAGTCTCTGCAACTACACTGAGGGTAGACGGGACCAGTCACCTCACTTTTCAGAGGGGAAACTGAGGAACAGAAAGATAACTTGCCCAGGCCCACACCCGAGTAAGTGGTGGAGACAGGACCTGACCTCGGGCAGATCTGGCTTCAGAGCCTAGGCTCTTACCCCTACCCGATGCTCCAGAGTTGAGTAAGGAATATGCTTGGAGGGCACGGAACTGTTCCATCTCTACTCGGAACTTAAAGCAGGAGAAATTTAGGTCAGATACAAAGTAGAACTTCCTGTTTCAGGAGGATGATCTGCTGATAAGACAGATTCTATTGCAACACATCCCTCTCCCCTTCTCATGCTCCAACCCCAGGCCTCTCCCAGCCTCCTCCCCTTACCAGGTCCCTCTGGCTTCAGGGGAACCTCTTCTCTCCTCTGGATGTCCTCCCAGGGACCTCACACCTCTGACCCTTCCCTGCCTCCTTTCCCGCTCCCCTCAGTCCACGGCAGGAAGCCCCCCATCCCCACCCCTCCCAGCTCTCCAGCTACCTCGGTGCAGCCTCAGCCTGTCCCTGCGCCTCTTGTGCTCCCTGCTGCGTTTCCTGGCCCTCTCCCAACCTGGAGGTCGGTTCTCCTTCCCCTTCTCTGGGTAAGGCAATGCCAGCCCCAGGAGCAGGTCCTTGTCCCGAAGGAGGCCTGCAGGACTCTGCTCAGGCAGCGGCTCCTCAGCCTCTGGCAGCCTGGAGGCCTGCCTGGTGGCAGTGACCACAGCCCCATCCTGGGCCTGGCTGGGTAGGCTTGGGCCCCACTCCTTCTTGCCCTGGCCCCGCTGGTGGTGGTGGCTGGTCTGTGTCCATAGCGCTGGGCCTGGGAGGTCGATGTGATTCTCAGGGAGGTTCCGAGCAGAGGTCCCAGGTGCAAGGGCGCCTGCCAGGCTCAGCTCCAGGGGCAGCAGGAGGGTGAGGAACAGCATGGGGGCGGTGTGGATGGCAGGCCCAGCCATTGGCTCCTCCCTGCAAGAAAAGCAACACCATAAACATGCAGCCCCTCTTTGGCCCCTCACTCAAATTAAAGCTCAGTTTATCTCAACAGCCACTGAGGGGGATTTTGCCCCGGGGGACATGTGGCAATGCCTGGAGACGTATTTTAGTTGTCAAAACTGGGGAGTGCTGCTGGGGGGGTGGCTCACGTCTGTAATCCCAGCACTTTGGGAGGCTGAGGCGGGCGGATCATAAGGTCAGGAGATCAAGACCATCCTGGCCTACCATGGTGAAACCTCGTCTCTACTAAAAATATAAAAAATTAGCCGGATATGGTGGTGGGCACCTGTAATCTCAGCTACTCAGGAGGCTGAGGCAGGAGAATCACTTGAACCTGGGAGGTGGAGGTTGCAGTGAGCCAAGATCGTGCCACGGCACTCCAGCCTGGGCGACAGAGTGAGACTCCGTCTCAACATCAACAACAACACTGGGACGTGCTACTGGCACGTAGAGGCCAGAGGCCGGGGGTGCTGCTAGACGCCCGACAGTGTGCAGGAAGGCCCCCCAAACCAAGAATCATTGAACCAGAAAGACAACAGTGTCGAGGCTGAGAACCCCAGCTTAAATCATGTCATCGAGGTTCCAGATTAGTCTAGAATTCCTTTCTCCGCACAAACCTCTGCCCCTTGCCAAGTTCCCTAGAAGGGAACTGAGTCCCTCAGAGCCCAGAAATCTGCCTCTAGCCCCTGAGACTTGACTCAGTGCCTAATTCCATACAAATGGCGGAAAAGCCCTTGAGCACAGGCTGCAGGCAGAACCCCCTTGAGTGCTTTGTGTGAATTCATGTCACCTCGCCTTTTCAACAGCTCTCTGAAATGGCTCCCGTTCTTTTCCCCATTTTTCTGAAGTGGCAATGAAGGCTCTGAGAGTCAAGTCGCACCTAGTAAGTAGCACTGTGTCGTTTCTGTCCTGAGCCCTGAACCCCCGTGGCTGTCCCAGGATGACCCCGCTCAGCCTTTTTCTTCTCCTCCCACGATGAGCTCCGAGGCCCCAGCATGTTCTGACGCTGTCCCTTCTTTGGGCTGAAGGACTTTGGGGACAGCTTTGCAGACTTGGCTCTGATCCCTGCACGGTGGAATAAGCCAACCCCACCTACCCTCAGGACAGCCCCCTCAGGGGACCCTGTGTCCTCCCTCACACTGAAGGGAGAGGCTGCAGCTCCCGGGCGGCGGGGGTGTCTGTCGGACTCTGGACACCCCTGGCCCCTGTATGCCACCTGCAGTGGCTCCCCCATGAACCCCCCTCCACTGCACCAGCCTCACCCATCCTGGACCTGGGCACCGGGTTAGCTGGACTAATTGAATTTTTACGGCCTCCGGAGTATTCCACTCGGCTGGCAAGGGTGCTTACACCATCTTTTCTTTGTGATTTGTGGTCGTATAATTGCCCAGGGCTGAGGAAAGGTTGATGGGCCTGGGACATTTCCCTGCTTCCTGGCGCCTCTCCCTGCGGCCTCCATGCTGGCGAGCCCACCCCAGTGTCACCTTAGCCGACCCCAACCGAGGGTAGTAGGGCAGCAAAACTGCTGTGTCCTGGAAGCTCCGAGCAGGCTCACCCGAGGGGAGAGGAGGGAGGATACGCCTCCTCCAGCCTCTCAGCGTCTGTGGTGGCTTCACCCAGCTCTGCCTCCATCCAGGCCTGGCACGTCCTGGTCCCCTGGGAGCCTGGGCCCCAGCCTCCACTGCCCACAGCTCAGCTCTTCCTAGAACCGTGGGCGGAGACAAGGAGGTGACCATCACTTCCCATCTTGTCCCCTATCCTGAGGTCCGTCTGAAGATCCTGAGTGAGCCTTGGTGAAGTGCGTGGGACCCTGGGACACGCTTGTTGTGACAACCCTGTCTCTCGTCACACCTGCATCCATTCCTAAGGCCACAGCCCCTGCGCTTCAGTCCCTGCTACTGTCCTAGTCACCTCACCAGCAATGCAAGGCTCTGCCCCAACCTTGCCTCCAGCCCTTCCCTAACAAGTACTCCTGAGGCCGGAGCTCAGGAAGCTGGGCCTGTGTCCCCCTGCCCCCCCGCCATTCCTGAGGTGGGGGAAAGGCCCACTTGAAAGCCCTGTCACTCAAGCATTGTTCAGTGCAGAGGGGACTTCCATCCTGCTTCAGGGCCTGTGAATCGGGGCTGCTCTCTGGGCTGGCGTTTAGCCTGACCGCTGCCAGACTTCACCCTCTGCTCTCCCTGTGACTGAAAAGGCCACGCACATGTGGGATGCCAACCGTGTCTGAGCCCCAGCCCTGCCTTTCGGTCCTGCAGGGACATTGACAGCCTGGGAGAAGCCCAAAGAGCATCCCGGGGACAGGGAAGCTTCGGGACATTGGCCAATGAATGGAATCACCCCTCCTCCCTGTCCTGGAGGTTGAGGGGAATGAGGTAGAAAACCCAGATAGCGCAAGCAAGAGAGCAGAGGAGGCTCGGCAGAGAGGTGGCCAGCTTCTCAGCTAGCCTGCTGTCCCCGGGGACACACAAGGCTGTCAGTGACCCTCAGAGCCAGCCTCTGAGCCTGGTGACCAGCCTCAGTGCTGGCCTTGGAGAACAGCTCCTCCCCTGCAGAGCTGGGAGATGAACCCCACTCCCACCCCACTCCAACACCCCCAAGCAACGTGGTCCCACCCAGACCAGCATCTTCCCAAGCTCTGCTGCCGAGACCCTCTTTGGCTGTGGGTCAGTACACTGTCCTCAGGAACCCCAGTCTGAGTACCATCTTTGTTCCCTCCCACGCTTCAAGCCCCACAAATCACACAGGCAGCCAGCCTGGGGCAGAGGAAGTGGGATTTCAGTGCGCAGTGCCAGAGCACTCATTGGGGTACACCCACGGGTGGTCCCTCCTCTCCCCAGACCCAGCACATACTGGTGGTATGGCTACTCGGGTTGTGACCCTTACCTGCTCAAAACTGTCTATGGCTCCCTATTGCCTTCCCATGTAACCACAGACTCCTTTCTTTGGCACTTAAGACCTTGTGTAATGTGACCTCAACCAAGCTTTGCAGCACCAGCTTCTACTCTCTCCCCTTCACAGGCAACAGAGACTGCTCCCTGGACCCCAAACACACCCCTGCTTTTCTGGCTCTCTGTTCTCACTTCGGCCATCCCCTCTGCCTGGAACCTCTCCCACCCTCACCCATCTCTCTCTGTCCAAGTCCTGCCCATCCTCTGGGACTCAACCCAAATGTCCCTTCCTCCAGGAAGCCTTGTTCAGCCCCTCGACTCAATGTCTTCCCGCTTGGTGCTCCCACATGCCTTTGATCCTGAAGACCTGCCTGCTCTTGAAGACCTCGAGTGTCATTTTGCGCTGGCACCGTTAGGTTTTTTTAAGCCCTTGCCTAGACCGGACGCTCTGAAGGACTTTGCCCAGTCTCCCCTCTGCTCTGTGGCACCTCTGGCACCTCCAGGACTCTGCACGTAATTGGTGCCAGTAGCTGTGGATCAGAACGGAAGTGGGTTGAGCACAGTCAAATTTACATATCATGTTGGGCACAGCGGCTCACACCTGTAATCCCAGCACTTTGGGAGGCCGAGGCGGGCGGATCACCTGAGGTCAGGAGTTTAAGGCCAGCCTGGCCAACATGGTGAAACCCCATCTCTACTAAAAATAGAAAAATTAGACGGGCATGATGGTGTGCGCCTGTAATCCCAGCCACTCAGGAGGCTGAGGCAGGAGATTTGCTTGAATCTGGAGGTGGACATTGCAGCGAGCCAAGATTGTGCCACTACACTCCAGCCTGGGCGACAGAGACTCAAAAAGAAAGAAAATTTATATCTCAGCAGATCATAAATAAATCTCCAGGATGTGTGAGTGTGTGTTGTGAGCATCTGGCATGTGTGTGTGAGTGCATGTGTGAGCTTGTGTGGGTGTGTTGTGATCATGTGTGAGCGTGAATAGATGTAGGTGTGTACATGTGTGTTGTGAGTGTATGTGAGGGCATGTTAGCATGTGTGTGGGTGTGAGCATGTGTGTGTGTTGTGAGCATGTGTGAGTGTGAATGTGTGCAGGTATGTGAACGTGTGAGTGAGCATGTGTGACTGTGTGTATGTGTTGTGAGCTTATATGTGGGTGTGTGAGCATGTGTGCTAGTGTGAGGGTGTGTGTGAGCTTATGTGTGGGTGTTGTGAGCATGTGTGAGCATGACTATGTGTGTGGGCATGTATGTGTGAACATGTGTATGTGAGCTCGTGGAGTGTGTGTGAGAATGTGTGTTGTGAGCATGTGTGAGCATATGTGTGTGCACAAGCGTGTTTGTGAGCATGTGTGTGGGGTATGTGCAATAGTGTGTGTGAGCTGGAGGAGGGGCTGGGGGAAGCCTGCGCAGGCCCCTCTCTCCAACCCCAGGATTTGTACACAGCTCTTGGCACAGCCCAGCAGCGGAGATGCCAGCCTGGCAGGGAGCCCCTCAGGAAACATGGGCTGCTACAGAAGTCGTGCCAAGGATCCAGAGCGACCAAGGGCTCCCATCCATTTCTGTCACTCTGGAAGCCAGTTGGAGGCTGTGTCACAAAGCACCAGGCAATCAGGCGGAAGGAGGAGGCAGCCCCCCTCTGCCTCCCCACAGCCCGCGGCGGTTCTGCCCCTGGCCGGGTTGCTCACAAAGCCTGCGCTGCCGGCCCTGGGTCTGCTCCCCGCAGCCGGACACAGTCAGCAGCCGGGAGTCACCCTGGACAAGAGCTGCTGAGGGACGGCAGGAACATCCACAACCCATAGACGGCCCCTTTCACCACTGAGGTCTGTTAGTGAATCATTAAAAACAAAACAAATCAAAGCAAAAGCAATCATAATTGTAGGAGCTGCTGCCCGGAGCAGCTGGGAAGCCCAGGCCCTTCCTCATTTCTTTCTTTCACCCACATCTCATTTATCCTCTCGACTGCCCTGTACATCAGGGAGACTTTTCCATATTTTTAAAGTGACGAAACCGAGGCTGTAGGTATCAATGGGAGGATGTAAGCCACGAATCCAAGATGGCACAGCTGGGAAGTGGC